TTCAATTTTTGTCACCGTATTAGTATACGAGAATTCAATATTGTCTAGCAGCAATAGTGAAGACGAACAATTAGTGACGGTATGTATCCTAATAAGGCTGGTATGGATTACAAATATAGAAGTATGATAATAAGTTTTCTGAAATTTTGGACGGAACGGGCTTGGAATGACTAGTTACAAGAAGAGCAAAGAAAGATCTACCTCGAAAGGATCACGTAGATAATGAACGCATTAAAAGAACAGCCGAAAGATATGAGCCTGATATGAGGTGTAGGAATGTTGAGGTGCTAGCTTTAAGATAGCAAATTCTAGTACTAGACTGAACCAGTTATAATATACTATTAGTTACATACCCCTCGAAGTGGTCCAATTAAATCACTAAAATTTGCTCCCAATTTATTACATAATTTCTCAAGCGAAACAAGATGACAAAAGTAGCATGATAGAATGCAGTTCTCAAAAGTAAATACCAACGGAACTTGTACGTGATTTGCGAAGGTGGCTATTTGGCACCCAGATGTAGTTTTGATTTAACTCTTTTTGTGGGATTGTTGTATCTCTACCCGATTACAGGATATCGTTCAGGCATGAGTGACGAGTATTTGAAACAGAGATGAATTGATGTAAATGTTTAAAACTAACTAAGATACGGACTCAATTTATGCAAATATAAAGTTCTTGTAGTCATTTTCTAAGCGCTCTTTGTTGAAATCTTCATAATATTTATTCGAGCCGCGAACATATATTAAACATTCTTTTGGTCTTTTTCCTTCGCGGCCAACACCCATGTACCAGGAATCCGCGAAAGGCAACAATGTTTTATTTGCACCTGCATTGATATTCTTTCCAGTCAAATTGTGCCTCATCCCTTGGAGCGATATACTTATAATCATGCTTTTTTGTATAATCAACTATGTCTCTAATCCATTCACTTTGAATCAAACAACAAGTTGGACCATTACAAAACGCGCTCGGACTTTGAGGACCATAAAGAAAGAATAAGTTAGGGAAATCTGCAATTGTCATGCCTAAGTAGGTGTACATGCCATCTTTCCACTTTTTGTGAAGAGTGATACCATCTTTGCCAGTCAAGTCAATTTGGTAAAATCCACCCGTTACTGCATCAAATCCTGTAGCGTAGATAATAATATCAAATTCGTACTCCTTTTCTGATGTTATTAAACCGGTATTAGTAACTTCTAAAATTGGTTCATCCTTGACATTGACAATTTCAACATTATCCTGGTTGAGGACATCATAGTATGTTTGCTCAAGACTAGGTCTTTTCGTGAATATCGGATGAAGCTGTTTATCCGGAGCTAATAATTGCTTTTTTCTTGGGTCTTTAATCCTATCATGAACCTTATCTCTCTAGTAATCATACGCGAGCTTGTTAGAATTTTTGTCAGTTAATATATCAGAAAAGTTACCTTCCCAAAATCTCATTCCACCATTTTTCCAGCACTTATCGAATTTGATTTCAATTTTTTAAGGTGAGCAATTCCCTACCAAGCGTGGATCACGACTGAACTCGAATCCTGACAGTCAAGATGTTTTCAACTTTTCAAAAAGTTCTGGATAGGTTTTCATCTTCCTTATCTGTTCGTCTTTGTCTCCAGTACTCTGTCTCATAGGAAACGCAGTATTTGGAGTACGTTGAAACACAGTCAAGTCACTGACATCACCACCAATTTCTTGAACAACTTGGACACCAGATGCGCCTGTTACTATACCTGCAACTTTTTTATTCTAACATCGACACCATCACATAGCCAGTCTGCAGATTCTCTGTTGCTAATTCGGGGATACATTTTTTTGCAGAAAAGCCTGTACAGAGAATTAAATATTTACATTTGTATTCACCGGCACCTTTTCCAGTCACAGTGATATCCCAAACATTTTTTATCATCATCCCAGTGAGATTTGGAAACGTTAGACTCAAAGGTGAAATCTTGACTAACGTTAATTTGGGTAACCTCAGCTGTCAAAGCTGGGTTACGTCTAAGTATCTAATGGCAAATAAAAGCTATCAGAATGAAAAAAAATACAACCGCTGAACTTTCTGCATTAGCGTTACCTTTGTCTGCTGCCCATGCTGATCCACATAAAATAGCCATAGTAATTTAATTCTTTCATTTGGGCGCGTTTTACAAGAATTGAAAATGTTGCGAAAAAAAATCCTTCAAAAGGTTTCCGGCCTTCAAGTAAATAATACATCCTAGTACATCAAATAAAATCAAAATTTACTGCTATTAATACTGTATATAACTAATTAGATTGACATGATCTATTCAAAATCCATTTTGTTGGAAAGAGTACCAATTTTTTCAATTTCAACTTCAACCATGTCTCCATCGTTTAAGTACTTTGGCGGTTTAAAACCCGCACCAACGCCGCCAGGAGTACCTGTCATGATAACAGTTCCTGCTTCCAAGGTGGTATTTTGACTGATAAAAGCTATGATCTTTGGAATACTGAACAAAAGATCGTCAGTGTTTGTATTTTGTCGGGTTTCACCGTTAACTCTGGTTTCAAGTTTAAGAACGCCTGGGTCCGGGATAGCCTTGGTAGAGACAAGTACAGGACCTAATGGTGCGTATTTATCGAAGCTCTTGGAGAAACACCATTGCGGGACTCCACCAGCATAAGCTGGGTCTCTTTGCCAAGTACGAGAAGAAATATCGTTACCAGAAGTGTAACCTGCGATATAATCTAAGGCTTCTTCTTCTTTGATGTCTCTACCTGTTTTACCAATTATAACACATAATTCACCTTCGTAATCACATTGGTGTTTTTGGGCGATCTTTGGAATTGGAATTAGTTCACCATGATCAGCAACACTGAAACGAGGCTTATAAAAAATAGATGGATAAGGTGGAGGGGTCCTTCCAGCTTCATGAATATGCTTCATGTAATTCAAACCAACACACTTAATAATTGGAACGTCGTCAGCGGTAAGTGGACCTAACAACTTTCTGACTTCCAATACCTCATCTGTGACCTTTGCATCGTTGAAAATATTCTCACCTACAACAACCTTAGCTTTGATAGTTTCACCCGCTGCGAATATTTTTCCTATATCATAAGCGGTATCAGAGATGATTGGCTCGCCTCTGTAAATTTTGCCGTCATTTGCGACAAATCTAATTAATCTATTCCAACTTGGCATTATATTCGTCTTTTAAAAATTACTCCTATAGCAAAATAAAGCAATTTATAAAGTAAAAATGGTTCGTATTTATAGGTCTAAGGCATTGGTTCCCTTGGTATTCGTCAGCAGGTTCCGACAC